AAACATAATGATTAAAAGACAGAGACTATTAGATTGAATAAACAGACAAAACCCAACTATATGCTGTCTTCAAACCATGCAGGAAGAAAAAGCTGACAGAATTTTAATGAAAAATTGACAAATGCAAAACTTAGTTGGAGATCTCAACACTCTTCTGAGTAATGGACAGAAGGAAAAAATAAAAAATAGCAGGAATATGAAGTACCCCAACAGCACTGTAAGCATTTGAAGAATCCTCGTGACCTTGGGCTAGGCAAATACTTCTTCCATGCAACACAATATTACTAAGAGAAAAATTAATACATCAAACTTCATTAAAACTAAATACCTTTGCTCTTCCAAAGACACAAACTGGGAGAAAATCTCTGGTAAACATGTATCTGATAAAGGACTCACATCCATACTATATAAAGTACACTCAAAGGTCAATAATGGGAAAATAACAACATATTTTTAAAAAGGCAAAGATTTGAAAAAGTCACTTTGCAGAAGATGACAGAAGATGGCAAAGAAACACAAAAAAAGAATGCTCAACATCATTAGTCCTAGGGTGAAAACTAAAATCTCAAAGAAATACCACTGACCACCTATGAAAACTGTTAAAATCAAAGAAAAAAAGGGGGGTAAACCAGTAAGCAGTGTTGGAGATAATAATCAGCTGGAACTCTTATAACTTGCTGGTAGGAATGCAAAATGTCAGTAGGTGTGAAAAGAGTTTGCAGTCTGATAAAGTTAGGCACACAGTTTCCATATCACCTAGCAATCCCAGCTCTCAGCATTTACCCAAAGGAATTAAAAAACTGTGTCCACATGGAAACGCGTTTATGAATAGTTAGAGTGACATTTCTCCTAATTACCAAAAGCTAGAAGTAGTCCAAATGTCCCTCAACTAGGAAATGAATGAACAAGTGTGACACAGTCATTTGATGGAATGTCATGCCTCATTAAAAAGGAACAATCTGCTGCATTGTATATAGGTGAATATTTATTAAATGCGTTGTGATAAGCAAAAGGTAGCAGATTCAAAAGCTGCACACTGCAGGATACCATTTTTATGGAATTAGGAAAAATCAAAACTACAAGGACAGAAGAAGGGTCAGGGGTTGCCAGGGGACATGGGGAGGCTACCCGGAGGCCCAGAAGAATTTTGGGGAGTGATGGAAATGTTCTCTACCTTAACTGTGGTGGTGTTTGCATGACTACATGCATTTGTCAAAACATACAATTGTACTCCAAAGGGTGAATTTTACTGTATGCAAATTATATCTTAATAAATCTGACTTTTAAACAAAGTAGACTGCTATAAAAAAATTCTATCAATCAGACTCCCCATTTATTCCATTAATTCAGTAATACTCCCTTTCACTCCAATTAATATACCAAAGGCTCTTTTTATTAACCTTGCTTCTCATGACTATGGATGTATGAAATATCTAATACATGCAGAGGTTTTGTTTTAACCTCTGTTCATGGAGGTGCTAACTGCTAATATAATTGAGAGTTCTGAGTTCTCTGCCTGACGCTAGCTACTCTTGTCAGTAAGCTAACAGTGAGCAGCCAAATGAAGGAAGAAGAGCCAGAGGCCCAAGTGGCTAGGGGGGCCCAGCAAGGAGAGAAAGACAGGTGAATAAACACCCCCCAGGGGGGATTCCCACATTCAGCTTTGGTGCTGTGTAGTCATATGAAGAGATGTGCCCAAGGTTGAAAGAGAACCCACACTCTGAAGGGGAGTTGGAAATCCTGCTTTCTATTTGAATTCTCCCCATTTGGGGGAGCTTAATCACTTAGAAAAAAGAAAAACCACATAGGCAAAACAGTGTCTGTCTGTGTCTGCAGGTTATGAAGCTCTCAAGGACAAGTCAAGTGCTTGGGTATAGAGGAAAGAATTAAGACAAGCCCAGAGTCAGGTGGTTTAACTGAATGGCTTCTAAGAAACTGAAATCACTTATTTCTAGGAAGCGTCAATGCAGCACAGAGTGTAAGCTTGAGGACGGGCACAGACATAAGGCACACTGTGTCTACCAAGTGTGTGCATGTGATCTAAGTGTAGGAAAGACACATTCTCCAGCGTCATCCTGCACCCTGTGTCATCTCTCCACCCAGACCACCTTCTACTCAGGAAACATGCCAAACCCTTTCTCAGAAACTCAGCATCCCAAAAGGTTTGCTTGTTTGGTCTTAATGCACTTGGTGGCCAATGCTGATCTCAAGAAAAGTGAGGCTGTTTGGGAGGTCTTTACCGCCTTTACGTACTTACACAGTTAGTGCAGAATGACCAATGTGCGTGATGACGGGTGTGACCACGCCCAGCTTGGGATGTTACACAATAGATGTATACAAGTCTATGCTTCTAGCTAGCTAGCTATTCAAAGATCTCCATAACTCTGAATCTTAAAGCATATCTGCCCCCAAAGACTTCAGAATAGGTTGTGGTCCCGTGTGACCTTCCCAGGGGTCCCATATGTGACCAACGACCATTAGAACATGCTGATAGCCTCTCAGCCCACCCAGACCCTCCCACTGCTCTGTATGGGGTCAATACCTCAACCTCTAACTGAAGGACACTTCACCTCACCTACCCAAGCCTTAAATCTTGGGTCTTAAATCTTAAATCTTTCAATGCCCTGGCTATTTATAGAACCTCCCAGGAACAATGATTCCGCTCTAACCCTTGCAGAATCGCAGAGCCTTAAATCCAACAGTTGAGAATAAACATACAATTGGTACTAAAAATTGATCAGCGGTTTTGAGAATTCTAGAAATCAGCACTTAAATCCTTGGGCAGGAAGAGTCAGAGATGGCTCTTCCTCCCCTCCCCCCCTTTTTTTTTAAGACAGCACAAATTTAAATGAGGGTCAGGAAACTTTCCTCTCTATAAGAAATCTCACGGCGCACACATTTTCTTGGAGGAATCAGGAGAAATGCAGTGCTGTTATTGGTCCTGGGAAACAATGAAAAATATTTGGCAGAGGATGAATTGGGGACCACAGGCCCCCAGGCCACAGTGGGGGAAATTGTCGAGCCAAAGCAAGGAGAGGAAACTCAAGGTTGCACTAAGCCAGGAAGGGGTGGCTTTGGGGGTAGGGGTGGGACATCTCCATGCTCACAATCTTCATCACCCCCAACCTTGCTGTGTAAATAGCATCTTTAAAACAAAATTCCCAGTTCCATTTTCCAACCAAATTGCTGGCCTTAGTCTCTTCTACGTGGACCTTTGTAATGGCTACTCCTAAATTACAGCTCAAATCCTCTAGATAGGGAAAAAAAAAAAAGGAATTTAATTAAGAGAAGCCCACAACTTACTTTAAAAAGGACATTCAACATTCAGAGTTCTGGGCTGAGTAAATCCTCCCCAGGTGGGGGGAAAACCTGATCCGGGACTCTCACCCCTTGCCCGGTTTAAAATGACACCACCTTCCCCTACAAAGCCCTTTCCATCCATCAAGTCTCTTTACCACCCAGAAGTCCCTGGCAAGTATTTGGGGGAAGGGATTTTTCTTTTTTGAGTGGCCACTTTACATTTTGGGAAACGGAGTCTTGTAAATGCTAGAACGCAGAGCTAGCGGCCGAATTAAAGCTTCGGATACTGCATGTTTGCTCTTTCGGTCCAGTTCTAAACCAAAGTCTCCCCATTTCTACCAGCGCCGCGCGGGTGCGCGCGCGCGCGCGCGCACACACACACACACACACACACACACACTGCTGTCTACCTGGGGCTCTCCGGAGAGAGAACACTATTTCAAACAGCGATTTTCGCCCAGCTGGTGTGCCTGAGAACCTGCAGCCTCAAGGAAAGCCGATTTCTCTGGGATTTCAGGCGCTGCATAAGGACTTTTAAAAAAGCAAATGCTACTTTTTAACCTCAATTGGTAACTTGTCTCTCTCTACGCATTTGTAGCCCGGCCCGCAGAGCTTCGGGCAGGAGACAGCCGGGATTCTCGGCGGGCTGCACTTGCCTGGGCCCGAGCCGCAGCGCCGCGCAAAGGCGCACCGACGCCTGTGCCCCCGCGGTCTCACCCAGTGGACCTGGGAACCCCGACCCGAGCGGCGCGGGCGGCAGCGAAGCGTCTCTCTCATTTTCCGCCCCGGGCCGAGCAGCCGGGACTCCGCACCGCTGTGTGCGTGCCGCCCGCCCCGCCTGCCCGCGGCCCCGGCGCCCAAGTCCCACCGAGCCCGGCGGGGCAGGGAGCTCCCCGGCCGGGGCCCCGCTCTCAGCGCGACTCGTGCCGGCGGTCCCCGCTCACACACCCACGACCGCCACAGCAGCAGGCGCCGCGACCCCCCGTGAGCCTTCTGCGCGGCGGGCTTTCGGTCGCTGCAGCCTCGCCAGCCTAGGGGCAGGGTCGCGGTCGTCCCCATTGCCGAGATGAGGAGACTGAGGCGCGCTGCCTCCCGGGACCGCGCTGCCGGGAAGCCCAGGGCCAGGGCCGCCACCGCGCCCACCAGGCACACCGCACGCCCCAGGCACACCGGACCGCAGCTGGGCTCCGGAGGGGCCCTCGAGAGCTGCGCTGTGAGCGCACGTTCCTCCTGCGGCCAAGGTCGCTTCTCGGGACCCCACGCCCCGGGCGCAAACCCGGTCTGCTCTCCCGGATCTCCAGTCTCAGTCTGACTGACCCGGGGATTGGGGGCTCAAAGCTAGGAGGAAAGGGGGCAAAGAAGCCGGTCCCCCCACTCCACACTGGGACTGCTGGGTCTGGGTTAGGTCCGCACGGAACTCGGGCGTGGGGGACAGTGTCTCCCAGCCACGCCCCCCCACCCCTGGAAAGCACCCCGAATCCGGAGGTGTCGGACCTGCCGAATCTGCCCAGCTCCTACGTCCTCCCAGCTAGGGTAGGGCCTCTCGGCGCCCGGCGGCCGGCACTCGGGCGCTCCTGGCGGGACCGGCGGCCTCCCCCAGGTTCCCGCGACACCCCCGCCTTCCGGCTCCCCCCGCCCCGGCTCATCCTGACCCGGGAACTTCCCGAGCGCCGGCGAGACAGACGCCCGCCCTGCCTTACCTTTGCCCAGCAGTGCGCCCAGCACCAGGCTCAGCGCCCCGCACAGCGGCGCCACCGGCCCGTGGGCCGCGCCCTCGGAGCGCATCCTGCGTCCCGGCAGCTCAGGCCGCCCTCCGCCCGCCTGGGGCGCAGCGCCGGCCCGCGGTCCCCGCCGGCTGTCCCATGCCCCGGGGCGACCCCCGGCTGCGAGTCGGCCGGCCCGGCTGCAGATCCGGTGGTCTCGCCTGCCCCCGCCGTGGCGCCGCGGCGGTTCTGGATCCCGCGGCAGCGCGCGCTCTGGCCAGGACAACTTTTCTCCAGCCTCCGCCGCAGCCGCCGCCCGCCCCGCCCCGCCCCCCCGGGCCCGCCCACCCCGGTCCGCCTCCGGCCCCGCCCCCGGCCCCGCCCCGGGCCAGAGCGGAGCTTGGAGAGCCGGGAGGGGCGCGGTTGCGTGATCCCTGGGGGCGGAAGAGGTTGGGGAGCCGGGAAAGCGGGGTTCGGGCCGCACCCGGGGTCCGCTTCGTCCATTTGCGGCCTCCCGCCCCCGCGCCTTGCGGCTCGCGTCCCGGAGACTTATGCGCAGGGACCCGCGACTCAAGATGGAGCTGGACCCTTCCCCTCGCCACCCTCCAGCGGCCGCGGCGGGGCGAGTGGGAGTCCCTCCCTGCTCTTCAATTTCAGGTCATCCCCCGATTTTTTGTCTTGAGAGCTGGGGACATCTGGAATTGAAAGTCCCGTGCATCAGCTGCGGAAAGCTCTGGACGGATCATTCAGTGGGGAAAGCAGCGTGCGGAACAGCCTACCGAGGGACACGGGTGGAGGGAGGCGTGTGCACATCTGTGCATGTCTGTGTGTGAAGCAGAAGATCGCAGCGGCATCTCGGGGGGGGGTGGAGACTGGAACGCGGCGGTGGAGAGAAGGTTCATTTTTCACTGCGGATCCTTTTATATTGTTGGGGCTCGTCCCCACTCCCCATGTGTTTTTACTAACTCTTCATGGAGGAAATACGTCCTCCCCCAGCCAGACCTGCTTCTGCAACAACTAGTAACCTGCAGTTCGGGCCAAAAAGATGTGCACGCGCCGCGCCACCCCACTTCGCGACGCTGCCAGAGCTGCCCTCCTTCCTCGCGGGGACCCCAGCTGCTTGCCTGGGCGGTTATTGACGCTCCGGCCTCACTGGGGTGGGGGAGGAGGCCTGAACAATCCGAAGGCGGGACCCCAACTCCCTCTCCTGCCTGTGAGTGAGAGGTGGTGCACCGGGAGCCCAGAAGCTTCTCTGGGAGGCCCAGCCCACCCCAAGCACTCCAGACGCTCCCCTGGGGTTGGCGTCTGGGCTCCTGGAAGGCAGGGTCCAGCGGCCCAGCTCTCACCAGAGCTGCAAAGCCTCGGGGAAAGGCAGCCAGGCCACTTCTCAAGGGAGGCCTGCCTGGGTGGCAGAGATTTTCAGGTTTTAAATGGATTATGGTGATAATTGCGGAATCCTTCAGCTGATTCAGCTAGTGCAGACACACCTCGGGAAGCAGTCCTAAAGGAGACTCGGACTCCTAAAATGGAAAACACACTTCCTTCTCATTTTTATTTGTTAGCCTAAAGTCACTGGAGAAGAAATATTTTTCATGTAAATGTTTCTACCCTTAGTGAGAAATGCGACGTATCTGTTATTCCTGAGGGAGGGGTTCAGATCGGCTTCATCCGCCCCCCTCCCCCGTCTGATGATGGAAACAAAAAGCCCCTAGTGACGCCCTCCATGCCCCTGCCCTTCTCCTTTGTAAGTTTATAATTTGCAACCCACCCTCTCTCCCCCATGCATACACATAATTTCTTTCCTTTTGGCACAGAATACTGCTTCCCACTGCAAAGCCAAAGGCAGATGGTGGTCTGGGACTCCACGGTGCAAATCATCAAGAAGCAAAAAACTGAACGAACCACAGAAATATGCATAACGGGTAAAGATGAGAAGAAAAACAAGAGGTCCTCGGCCAGGTAAACCCGCTTCACATTACCCTCAGGTGTTCTGAATCTCGCCAGCTCCTTCAGGGGTGGACACAAGGAGACCCAAGTAATGGGTGCTTCTTTTCTGCAAATCTGTTTAGGATCCCATTTAATCTACCTGGTGACCTTCTAGGTATCAAACATGTGTGCAAAACCAAATAGAAGGGAGGATGTGGTCGAGTTATCTTTTTAAGCAACCCCCCCCAACGGAGGTGAGAACTTAAGAGATTCATGGGCTAACAGTTTCCTGTATTTATTTTTTTTAAGGCATGTATTATTTAACCCCCAAATCATTAATTCCTTAACTTAAATTACTTCCAGATGCTTTTCTGAATTTCATAACAAACTTCAGAGACCACTAATCCCCTCAAAGGCTTTTTCGAAACTCCCCGTGGGCTGTGGGCACATGGAGACAATTAACATGATTTATAGGACACAAGAGCTATTGGAAAGAGGAAACCTGCTGCCTCCACATGTGCCTGAGTTCCTAAGTCAAAGAGATGATTTCAGACTACGTTGTTGTTCGTGCCTACATTCCAAATTTTTAATGCCGTTGTAAAATGAGGGATGGAGCTTGCGAAGTTAGCTCAAGCGTTTCTCATGAGATGTGCCTCTGGGCGGGACCTATAGGCATATATTACCAAGGACAAGGAAAATAAGGGCTATGTGTTGGCCTTACAAGACAGCTATAGTTGTCTTGCAGATGTAAGGTCAAGTCCTTGGTGTTAGAAGAAGGAAGGAAGGAAGGAAGATTGGAAGGAAGGAAAGAAGGAAAAGGGGAGGGAGGAAAGGAGGGAAAAGGAGGGGAGGCAGGGAGGGAAGGAAGGAATGGCAGGAGGGAGGGATAGAGGGAGGGAAGAAGGAAGAAAGGGAAGGAGAGAAGGAAGGAGGAAGGAAGACATGTGTTTAGCAATCTGGGCTGGCACTTTTCTCAATGTTTATAGACCGCATCCCATTTAAGCTTCACCGGAGCCTTAACGGGAGAACCGTCACTGTCCTTTGACATTTCCTTCATTCACTCAGCAAATATTTCTCTATTGGTCACCATTTGTCAGGCCCAGATATGGGGTTCTAGCATTGAACAAAACAGATGGAAGTCCTATACTCACGGACCTCACATTCCAGGAGACAGACTCTAAAGAAAGCCATCCTACAAGACAGCAGGTTCCGGGAGAAGAGCTTTTCAGGCTGAGGCACCCAAAGTGTAAAGGCCAGGAGGTGGAAGATCCAAGGGTACCATTTTTCCTTCAGAAGGGTCATGTGGCCTCTTGGAGGACCCCGGTGGCAGAGGAAGCCTGGCGTTCATTAAGTCGGCTGAAGGCCGGCAGGAGTGTTGGGGGCTGGCATTGGAAGGTGGGCATGGAGGCCTGCTGTGGAGGCACAGACCCATGAATGCTGCTGGCTGCTGGTGGAGGCAGAGAGCCCACGGATGGATGGTGGGGCCGTGGGAGAGCATCAGTAGTCTGGGGTTTTGGCCCAAGCCACTGGGTGCCAAATATACCCTTCAGGGAGCAAGGAAGACCAGGAGTGAGCAGTCTTGGGGGTACGTTAGCACAGAAAGCTGCTGAGGCTCAGATGGGAGTTGAAGCCGGATGCTAGAAGATGGCAGTGGTGGCGATCAAGGTGAGCCCTCCACCTGCTCCAGAAATGGCACAGTTCATAGCCCCCAGCTCTGAGTTAATATTGGCTTTGACCTTGGTAAGATCCATAAGCTTTGGGTTCTCTCTTCTTCTGGCAAACTCCAGGAGCTCTGCCTGGCTAACACGGAACAGGGTGGGGAAGTAGAATGGAGAAATAGAGTGTCCTTCCTCTCTTCCCACTGCCACACCTGCCATGCCTGGATCAAGAGTCCAGCCTCGTGGCATCCAGTAAGAAAGGAAGCACCGAGGCAACCCTGGGGGCCATTCACCGTCCACTCTTGCTCACTCACATGCATATTTACTGATGTCTATCTGCAGCCTCCCCCAGTCCATGTCAGCTCCGTGGGGGAGGTCTGGCCTGCTCAGCCCTGTGTTCCTAGCCCTGCCACAAGTGTGTGCATAAAGATGAAGCCCGTCTGGGGAGTAGCTATCATGAAGCTACAGATTACTAGCCCCGCCTTACCAACCAGGAAGCTGAGCCCCACACATTTTTACCTTGAGCTCACTTGGCCAGGAACAGTGAAACAGTGATGATCCCAGTAATGGTAGTAACATGTATTAGATGCTTGCTAATTGCCAAACAACTCTGTTCACAGCCTACGGATATGTACCTTATTAGCCCATTGTACAGACAAGGAAACTGATGTCCAGGTGGTTATGTGGCTTGTTCAGGGTCATCCAGCTGGGATGTGGTCAAACAGGGTTGAATTGAGGCCATCTGTGACCACTCATTACACTACCTGTTCGAGGTTCATGCTTATGTCTGCCCATTCTCTACATGAGGTGTCTTGGTAACCTGTGTTAGGTCTCACTTGCTAGACCTTTCTATTTTGAACAAACACTGAAAAATTATTCCTTTGTCATTTCCACTTAGCCTAACAGACAAGCTCCCCAGTGTCTTGTGCTGCTCTGGCATCTCTGCCTGAACCTGGCCTCTGTGGAGATTAATTTACTCTGGCAGGAACACAGGCTCAGCTACCCCAGCTAAAAGGCGAGATGTAAGTGACTTTTGGCCTGTGAGGATGGCTTTTTTTTAATTAATTATTTTTATTAACATATAACATATTATTTGCCCCAGGGGTACCGGTCTGTGAATCATCAGGCTTACGTACTTCACAGCACTTGTGAAGATGATTTTTAAGACTGATGCTTGAATGCCCACGCTGACACTTGTCCTGTCAGATGACCTGCAGGCTTGTTAGCCTCTTGGTACCTGCTGCCTTCCCAGGCTTTGGGTAAAGACCCACAGGGCAGATTTCTATCCATCACCTTTCTCCTCAGGGATCAAGGTCAGCAAATGGTCCTTTTAGTATAGGAGCTGAGTAGTAATGCTTCAGATTAAGTGATAAATGAAGTAATCACACTGACATCACCTTAACGGCATTTGTTTCCTGATCATCATCATCACCACCACCACCATCATCATCATCACTGCCATCATCATGTCCACCATAACCATCATCACCATCTCCACCATCATCATCATCATCGGCACCATCTCCACCATAAGCATCACCATCACCACAATCATCACCGTCATTGCCATCATTGTGTCCACCATAACCATCATCACCATCTCCACCATCATCATCATCATTGGCACCATCTCCACCATAAGCATCACCATCACCACAATCATCACCATCCACCATCATGACCATCACCACCGTCACCATTACCATCATCATCACCATCATTGCCATCATGTCCACCATAACCATCATCACCATCTCTACCATCATCATCATCATTGCCACCATCTCCACCATAAGCATCACCACAATCATCACCATCCACCATCATGACCATCACCACTGTCACCATTACCATCATCATCACCATCATTGCCATCATCGTGTCCACCATAACCATCATCACCATCGTTGACATTATGAC